GTGCACCGAACGTATAATATTAGTCCAAAGGGATCTAGGGATCGATTTTCGGAGAAAAATATGAGGTACAGCTCTGAAATACCTTTGCCAAATTTTATCGAGATAGATATAGCTCCCATATATGCCTCGACAAATTCAGTAGAAATCAATTCTGAGGAGGTTATTCCTCTCATATATTAGTTGCTTTTGACTTTAAATTATAACTATAAGCATAGTTGGTATAAATTAAGTCTCACAAATTCTCCATAAAAAAACGTTTATTTGTTATGTGAAGCCTTACTAAATATGTAAAGGGGTGTAGGGTATCATAAATTCGGCCCCACCCGACTTTAAGACTTTCTTTATTGCTTATATCGGCCATAATGCAGCTGTTTTTCTTAGTAAATTTCCCAGTACATTTTCGCAAACTCTCAGTAACTCAACTGTTAAAATTGATCTCTTCTTTACTCGCTCTCATTTACTGTTTTGTGCTATTTGGTTATCGTACATTCCTAATATCAAATAATCATAAAAAACCTTCAACTTGCCTTTTATAAAAATTATTTAGGCAAAACAATTCCACAATAGAACAAAAAAAACTATACGAACTTTTCATATTTTCTCTTTCTATATGAAAATGAATTTAAAACCCCTATGAATGTCATTAATGTAGTGTAAAACTATGCCCCAACAAGACCTTGAGCTTCTATTGCATCCATTAGCCTACTGCTCTACAACAATAATAATAAAAAAAAAAATAAAAAATTATTTGCAACATCATGTTGTAAGGGTCAGCCGGTTTGGTTGGATAATTGGTTAGTTGGTTTGTTGTTTTAGTGGCGATTGTTTTATTTAAATACTGTAATATAATTGTTAATCACGTAGATGCCATAATTGCACTATCTCACCTCGCCATCGCCATCCGCCAGATAGTTGGGGAGGTAAGTGAGCTGAGCGAGTGTACTTGCAATGCAGTTGATCAACAAGTTTTGTTTTTCTATTACGAAACTAGCATGTTCCGTCATAAAATTGTGCGAGCAGCTTAATGGAAGTGTAATGGGACTAGTTAAATTAGTCGAATATTAAGTTTTTTTCCTTTTCTCCGATTGGGTAAGACAGTCTCACATTAATTATTTTATATTTATTTAAACTGTGTAGTGTGGAATGTTATGGAAATTTTAATAATTCAAGGCAATTAAACAAAGTAATATCGAGAAGGTACATTCTATTTTATAAAGGGGATATTTTAAGGTTTGTTTCGATATGACGTTACGAAAGGGAATTCCAAAGAATAACAGCCATTCCATGTGTGTTCTAAAAATTAAAAAAAAATCAAAACAATCAATTTCTGAGTTCCAGAAATCTAAACATTTGAAATTTTTTATACGATAACCGGTTTTTCCTTCATGATATTGAAAAAACTTGCAAATCTAGTAGATTCTTGTAGGTTTTGGAACAGAGCAAATGTGTGTCATTCCAATTCAATTCACTTTCGTATCGGTTCCTAATTTCCAAAATAAAACTGAAAGTCAATATATTCTGATAAAATTCTTAAAATAACTGTTTAAAGAAAAATCACAGTTTGCAAGAAATATTTGGTGATTTTCATTTGTTTTGCCCAGATAGATGGCCAGCTACTGTTTGAATAAAACATTAATTGGTTGTGGGCATATGCGAAAAAATGCCGCAAAGGTCACTCAGGTTTTTTTTTGTTGATAAAACAGAAATAAAACGCGTGTTTAAATACGAATACCGCTTTAATTCAATAATTTCTTCTTCGTTTATTTGCTGTCATTCCGATTGTGTTATATTCACCTTGTATTAATTAAATACCTTGTATGATACACAGAGTGTGTGTTGTGTGCTACAGAGAGAGATATATAAAATAACAGCTTATATACCATGGGCATGTACAATTACAAAAGTTTATAAAGAACGATGTACGAAATCTCACTCTACATGTATTTCAAGATCAAGGTTATTTGTTTTCTTTTAGATTATCGAAATTTAATTTCTTTTTGGATATCACGTTTTTACACATTTTTAATTTATTCGATGTTTTCATACATCTAGACACACAGAAGCAGAATGGGGTAGAAAATCTGGTTTAGTAAATTTTAAATTTTGACTCAATTAAATCTTTGGGGAAAATGATGTTTAAATAAGTGTATATAATACTAAGAATTCATAGAAAATATAATTAAGGAAGCAGACTCAGAATGTAAGATAAGAACAAATGAGACATACTAATAGCTGCGTTTGTATTGGTATAACGTGTGTTTGACAACTTCATTTGTAACCGCTTGTATATTTAATAATAAGTCTGGCTTGTTCGATATATGACAACGATTGTAATTAAAAAGTATGTTTTCTTTAAAAAAGTTCAGTAAAAAGAGCAAAGGATGTTAGACACCTTGAATTAGATATTTCAACCCAAATAATTTGAAATGAATGAAAGTCATCTGTCTATTTCTTTGCCTTTCTATCATTTGAGCAAAATTTTTATTAAAGAAATCATGCTTGTATAGTACCCAGACCCAGCTATTGTTACTCGATGTCGTGAAATAACTTCAAAGTCCAGTAAAGTAAAGGTGCAGGCACATAATGAGCCATTTTACTGGCTTAAGTCATCGACTGGCTTCTCCGTAAAAGAACAATTTAATTGTAGCCTCTCAATTTTGGATTAGATGGTTTTTAATCACCTGGGGCTTAATTTATTGTCAGAAAAAATGTGAAATAAAAAATTTATATAAAAAGAAATACCGGGCCAAACTCCACCATTGGGCGAAGAAAATCTTTTTATATAAAAGTATATGACTTCAAAAGTGTTCCATGCTGTTAAACTTTTCAAAAAACCATAAAGTGGGTGAGGCCGTTACAAGGGGTCCAACCCCTAAACGGGAACCTTTACAGACAATTTGAAAACTTCAAGGATTGTCATCTACCAAATCTTCTTAAACCAGCTAGAACCAGTTATGAACTACAAATAACAATTTTTAGACAAATCCGTGGGAAAATGTGGCAAAAATCATTAAAATACCGAATATCGGGAGGTACCGTTATATGTGGGCTATAGGAAAACTTGGATCTATTCATACAATGTTTTGTCACAGGGGCTAGAACCCATTATGACCTACAAATACAAATTATTAGACAAATCCGTGGGAAAATGTGGCAAAAGTCATTAAAATACCGAATATCGGGAGGTAACGTTATATGGGGGCTATACAAAAACGTGGACCTATACATACAATGTTTCGCCAACGGAGCTAGACCTATAAGGAACTACAAACACCAATTTTTAAACAAATTCGTGACGAAATGTGGGAAAATTCATAAAATACCGAACATCGTTATATGGGGGCTACATATGTCATTTTCAGTACAAACTATCCTAGACAAAATACAAATTGTTGTGCCAAAATTTGAAGCTCTACGTCAAATAATGTAGGCGGTATTGTGATTTCTACATACAGACGGAATTTTAGAATTTTATGCTGATTATGAATATATATACTTTATGGGGTCTACGACGAATATTTAGGGATGTTACAAACGGAATGACAAAGTTAATATACCCTTCTTTTCAAGGTGGAGGGAATAAAATGAGAAAACTTTTCATCTCATGATTTTATAGAAAACGGTTCAAGCAGCAATTTGCAGTCCAAACTAGTAATTATTACAAAGCAGCTGTCATTTTCAATCAACTGATGCTGGAAAACTCTTACTGAGTAAATGTTTCTAGTAAGATTTGGCAAACTCTCAGTAACTTAACTGTCAATGTTGCTCTCTTTAGTCGCTCACATTTACCGGCATTTTGTTTGATTTTTCGGTTATTCGATTCAAATTATACCAGATAATAATATCCAGATAGTAGATGTGTCTAGTTACTTCTCCTGCAGGAATTGTTCAGCAACTTCTTTCTGAGAGAGTAATGTAGTTTTATTCTCTTTTTCAAGAAAACCCCAAAAAAATTAAACAGATGGAATCCCAGCAAAAACTGGATTGTCAGAACAAAATAATTTGTTCGTCAGAAACGGAGATTAATCATTAAAAAGATGTTTTTAAATTACTTCTCCAAATATAAATCACCAGAAGGAGGAGAAGAAGAGTTGCAAGTGATTGCAAGAAGAAATTTGTCCAGAAAGAATTTGCAAACTCTCAGTGGAAGAACTGTCAAAATTGCTCTTTTGTTTAAACAGACGCACATCGCTCTTCTGTTTTAACAGACGCATTCCAGTACCAATTTTCAACAATTGTTACACATTTTAGGGTAAACGGACACACCTAATGAAGATCCCTGATTCATCTAAAATTGCTTTCATTTCATACAAGTTTCCCTTCCAATACACATGTGCGGCTTTAAAAGCTAGCTCTAAATTGCCTTCCCCGACAAGGGCAGTGTTTACAAGTATCATATGTTCGAAACATATGATCTAAAGCTAAACCTAAAAACCCCGGAAGCAAACAAAAAACTACCAAAACTACTATGTGCATTATTTAGCTTTTTTCGTGTCTATTACACAGTCTCCAATTTCTTCTCATTAATTCGCTGTCATTGATGTAGGTTTGTATTGTATTTCTTCTTTTATAGATTCAAACGACCGTCAATTCCCCCGCCAATTGTTCGTTCGTTCAGTCGTGATGTTTGCAATCATCTACTCGAGACGTTTTAAGACAAAATTATAACGTGACAGAATTTATTAAATATCGGTCGGTATCTACAATATGTCTGTCTGTCTGTTTATTTGTGTGTTTTCGTGCCTGACCAGTGCTCGCTCTCTTATGGCATGTATTGTTGAAAAGAAAAAAAACAAAAAAACAAATCTGTACATTGCAGCTACTTGGAATACTAACTGCATACCCATACATATACACAAATGATACTTCCCAAATTGGACAACAAGAGTGTAGCTCAACAAAAAGTGGGTTTGTTGTGGTCGCTGAAGTTTTGTCTGCCGGTGTAACCAACACCACGACCACCACCACCGGTTGTAAAGTCTGGTTTATAGTTCACTTACCTGAAGCTAAGATCTCGTGTTTTTCCATTGGCAAAAGCTGTACGGCATCTTTGCAATATCTGATGTGTGTCGTATTGATGTTGTTGTTGTTGTATTGTTGTTTTCAACGGGAGTAAGTCATATAAAAAGACAAAAAAAGAGGAAAAATACATTGGAGTTAAGTAGAGTTATGAAACGATGGAAAGTAAAGGAAAACATTGCAATAAATGGTGTGTGGTTGTAACGACTTTAGCCTATTTGGTGGATACATGAAATCCAGAAATAAGCTACAAATGAGGCGAGCTGCTGTATTTGTCGGTTATGTTAGAAATAGTTACTTACATCGTCGTAATTTGTCATATTGTCCGCTGGTTGAGTATCTGAAATATTTCACAAATACAAAAAGGTTAGAGGTTAATGGGGGGCAACTTGTTTGTTTGTTTGTCGGTTGTATTCTCCGTTGTTATTGTTTGTTGTAATTCTTAAGGTCGTCAACTACGGACGTTTTGAATTCCCAAATTAATCGATTGTTCGTTGACACCGTAAAAAAAGCGCACTAGTTACTCAACAACAAATGAAAACGTACGTACGTTTTCCAATCAGAATATTTTGTTCTTGTTCTTTTGCATTAATAAATCACTGTGTGTTTAACAACATATGTAGCTGTAGGTAGCTAGCTATGTACATTCCAATCCCAAAAATATAAAACACTAAAAATTGAAAATATCCACATGAATTCCCAAAACAAGTTGTGCCGTTGCCGATTATGATGTTCGGTCCACCACCAACAAAAAAACTCCGTTGGTTGTTGTTAATATTCACTTTTATTTTTCAATGATATAATGATATATACAACACTCACTACTCGGCTCGGCTCTTCTACGCTACTCGCTTTGAGGCAGAACTAAACACGGAACACTGCTTTGTTAAATTACCATTAATGAATGAGACGACCGCAGATTGAAATCAACAAAATAAAGCCCCCAAACAAAAATTTATATAGTCGGTAAAAGACGTTAGTGTGTATGTATGTATGAGCGTTTTTGGCGAGCGAGTTACGTTTCCGCTCTTACGAACTTTACGAGCGAACGGTTAAAAGCGAATGACTGAATGACTGGACAACTATGGCAAGATTAGGAGGAAGTCGAATTAAAAAATATTGAGTTTTTGAGTTTTTTCTTCACAATAAAGATGATGATGATGTTGTTGTTGTTAAATCAGCTGTTTTAACGAGAGACGAGAGAGAGACGTTTGTCAGTGAGAAAAACAGCAAATGTCAAAATCATCCATTGCTCAGTTGTATAAATTGTATGGCATCTGTGTGGTGGGGCATTCACAATAGTTAGTTACTGTGTGGGGTGGTTAAAATGTGCTAACCGTTATGCAAAATCAGAAAAAAAGCATTGCTGCAAATAATTCGTTGTTGTGTTAAACGACAGATGGCGTTGCCGGCAAATTAATAACATAATGTATATTTTTATATTTGTTAATTAAGATTAGATTACTCATCATCATAGTTTTATTTACATTTCAGAGAAGAACAAGTATAAACATGTTTATCATTAAAAATTCTTTTTTATTCTCTCGGTAACAAATGGATTAAATTTTCGTAATAAGAAATTGATAATCTTATCAAAATTGAACTCTCAAAAATAAACTCTTGCATGTGGTCATTTGCTGTTCCTGATCGACATCCTAATCAACCATGGTTAAACAGTTTGCTACCGAATTGATAATAACTTCATTCGACAAAAAAACTTGTGAAAACATTCAATACACCCTTATATTCTGATATCGCTGCATGAATTGTATTTTATAATCTCACTTTTATGAACTTTGATAATGGGTTCAACGTTTGGTTATTAGAATAAAATAGAACTTAAACAATTGTTGATAAATGGTATGTTTGTGTATATACCTGTTTTTTTTTTTGTATGGATATTTTAGTAGAAAAGTTTATCAACAATTGTAATGGTATGTTTGTGTATATACCTGTTTTTTTGTATGGATATTTTAGTAGAAAAGTTTCCAATTGTAAGCGTTTTTATTACAGATGACATTAAAAACTTTTCCATGCATTTTAAAAATATACAATTCAGGTTGATCTGGTTATTTTATCTATGAACAGGGTGAGATTAAAAACACTGCAACCAACTTCAGACTGCTGTCATTTCTAAGCCACTCGTCCGACAGCTGTTAAATTTATTCCAGTGACAGCTCATTATATTGTTTACAAGCGTACAAACGCATTTTGGTGGGAATTTTCCAAAAAAAAAAAAAGATATTCGTGAAGGAATTCAAGGAAAATTATGGCGGTTGACTTTGTTGCAGGTTTTTTTTATCGCACCCCGTATTAGACATGAGCTTAATATCTTAAATAAAACATAAAGACGGGACATTTTTTATAATTTTTTTTTTTCATGTTTTAGTAACATTCGAAACAAATTGACTATATTTTCCTGCTGAAAGGAGTAGAAAGTCAATAGTGAGCGGTGTGTAAACAGTGCATTAATGAATTATGCAGTTTCATAAAGAGGATCAATCAAACCATATAGAGACCCTTAAACCGAATCGAAAACAAGAAATCTAATCGGTTTATGAATAGACAAAAAATGTCATAGCAGAAGAGAACTGTGAGATACAGGCTTCCTATATATTTGTAATAGTAAAATTTCTAGAAAAAGCTATTGAAATTTCTACTAAAAATAAGTTTCCCTGTAAATCTCTGACAATTAACTTTGCTGCCATTATTTTTGAAAATAGGCAAACAATTTTATTGCCATAATAAATCCAAATATAGCTAGGAAACTCTTCAACGCTCTTCCCTCCCCAATACATTTCTCCAAATAATTGCTTGTCCGAATGACTACTTCAACTTCTTCAAATTTCCACAAAAAATAAAGCAATACATGATAATGATGTACTATGACGTCACTTCCAATATATAACAAGGTTGTGCCTGTATTGTGCTACTTTTTTTTCTGGCCGCTACATATGTATCTTATCAATTTACCAGCAATCGTTTTGCAATGATCTAGTTTTTATATTCTATTTACTTTCTTATTTATTTAATTTTTTTTTCTGGCAAAACACTTTCACTAATATCAATTACAATTAAATTTGTTTGAATGTATCTTCAAGTGCACTTTTTTATGTGTCTATGCACATCGAGCGATAAATTTGGAGAATTTCTATAAATTTCTGTAGTTAACACCGGAGGAGGAGCACTCGACAACTAACCTGCTTTGCTCTCTAGAACGTTTCAACTTGAACTAAATGTTAATGTTCGAAATGGATTTCATTGAAACTCTGTTCTATTCGGCGAACATTGTTGGCTGGAAATAAGTAATCGCGGCACACGAAATAATATGGAGCTGTGTGAGTGTATTGTTATCATCTAGAAATTCGAAATGTGAGATAGGGATGTCGAATGGGGAATTGTGGGAGAAAGCAAGACCAACAATCGGGGGAGATTATTTTAAATGTTAAGAACCTAATAAAGTGGACTTGATAGAAAACACCCCAAGTAAAATAAATACTTTGTGGGGGAGGTTCCGAAACAGTTGGCCAATATTAACCAATTCGTATCTGACCTAAAACTTATAAAAATATTACAACATGCCAGATTTGAACTATATCGACTCTTCCTATACTTTATCTGAGGTATGTGCAAATGTTTAGAAAATGTGGAAATATGCGTGAGGTAGCAGATATAGCGGACCGATATATTCCATTTTCATACTTCAACTAATACAGTTAAAAATATTGGTATTTGGATATATGAAATTTGGAGAGACTTGGATACTTATCCTAGAAGAGATTTTTGTTTTTAAAAAATCTTGAATCCTATGTGGGGGAGGTACCAGAAGAAATGGTCCGATCTATACTATCTTTATAATAGATCTTGTGTTAATGGAAAAATTGAGTTGTACCAAGTCTGAATGGAATCGGATGTCAATTTCACGTTTTATGAGCTTCATGGACACTCAAAGTTTTGACCCTTTGTGGGGGCGGTACCAGAAGGAGAGGACCGAGATATCTAAATTTTACACCAAATCTTGTGCTAGTAGAAATAGTGGTTTTGTGTGAAATATGAAGAGGACCGGATGCTAATTTCGGATTTTATGATCGTTTTGTTTATTCAAAATTTTGATCCTTTGTGGGGAAGGTACCAGCAGGAGTGGACCGATATATCTCAATTTCACACCAGATCTTGTGCTAGGAGAAATAATGGTTTGTGTGAAATATATTGAGGGCCGGATGCTGATTTCGGATTTTATGATCGTTTTGGTTATACTTTGATCCTTTGTGGGGTAGATACCAGGAGGAATGCTCCGACCTCTACCATCTTTATAACAGATCTTGTGTTAATGGAAAAATTGAGAAGTGCCAAGTCTGAATGGAATCGGATGTTATTTTCGTGTTTTATGAGCTGCATAAATATTCAAAATTTACACCATATATGGGGAGGTACCAGAAGGAGTGGACCGATATATCCCATTTTCACACCAGACATTGTGTTAAAAAAAATATTGCGATGTGAATTGTGATTTGAAGAGAACCGGATGCTTATTTCGGATTTTATGATCATTTTGTTTATTTAAAATGTTGATCCTTTGTGGGGGAGGTACCAGGAGGACTAGTCCGATCTCTACCATCTTTATAACAGATCTTGTGTTTGTGGAAATATTGAGATGTGTCAAGTTTGATTGGAATCGAATTTAAATTTCGTCTTTTATAAGCTGCATAAATATTCAAAATTTACACCCTTTGTGGGAGAGGTGCCAGAAGGAGTGAACAGATATGTTCCATCATCACACCAGACCTTGGGTTAATAAAAAAATTGTAATGTTTGTAATTTGAAGACAATCTGACACTTACATCACATTTTATAAGAGTTGTAATTATTAAAAAATTTTGACCCTTCGTGGGGGAGGTACTTGATGGAGTACACCGATATTGTCCATTTTCGCACTTGACTTAGCACTGATGCAAATATTAGGATTCGCAAATGTGGATCAAAATCGGATCATCCTTTCCCTTTTTGTGCAGTAAATTAGTTTCTTTGAAATTTTTGACATTTTGTGTGGGAGGTACCAAAAAAGGGTATCGATATTGCCCATCTCCGAACTCGATCTAAGCTTGACAATAATATTATAATGTACCAAGTTTGGATACTCCCTTCGAGAGTTATCATGCGCACCAGCCAGCTAGACAGATAGCCGGACGGATGGTCGGTCATCGCTAGATTGACTTTAAAGGGTCATTTCGATGAGGAACGTTTTAGCCGTATCACATGATATATACCCTTTCTATACCCTAATTAATTTCACTTTATCCAACATCCCCCCATTTTTCGATTCCATATCGACATCCCTATTATACATATGTTCGTGTATTTACCGAAGTTGTACATCATTTTAAGTACATGCAGTTGTATCTTTATTGTTGTTATTGTGTTCGCCCTGTTTAAAAATACCCGGGTTATCTGAAAAAGCAAATCAAGCACTCAAAACTACAGACTTACTTCGCCTAAGACCCTTGGGAGGCAGAGTTCAATGTTGTTGATGTTGTTGTTTTCTTTTGACAAAATTTATTTTTTGACAAAGTAACACCTATGAAACGAAAGCAGCTAAGCTATAGCACCACCAGCAAATTCTTACGATAACAACAACAGTCCGCCAGGCCACACATTCACATTCAAAGTGAAATTAAAGCAGAAATAAATTTGGGCTAATTAAATGTTATTTGTATTTCATTAAAATCGAAATAAATACCAAAGGTTGTTGCGAAGAAAATAGATCCAGTTTCTAAAAAAAATATTCCAGAAAAATTAGGATTTCATAAAAAAACTCGCAATGCACCGAAATCAATACCGCAAATATAATAATGTATAAATATTTGCTCTAACCTTTAGAACTGATTAAGAAAATCCGGATTTTTTTGCGATTGTAAATAAAAACATTAGACTTGAAATATAACCAAGCAGTGGTTTCAAATCAGATTTTGAAGATATAAGTACCCTGTAGGAAATGTCAGTAGCGAATAACAGGTGTCTTTTTTTGACTTTGACTGCCAGTCCTGCTAACAAAGTGTAGAC